CGAAGAGCATCTGGGATGGGGGATATTAGGCAAGACAGGAAACATCTCAGCTGACGGACATTTTCGGTGCGGCTTCAATCTTTAACTGCTGACGTTTTTTTCTGTATTCGTACACACACTTTCGGCAGAGATGACACGTGCCATGTAAGTCACTTCCTATCTGAACAATTTTATATTTGGCAGGATTTAATTTTAGATTAGGTTCCTTCAGTTCCTGAAGCACCTACATAATATTTTCTAAAAATTCAAAATTTGTTCAAAATTTTCCGCAACCATAATGATGTCATTCAGAAATATCAAACATACTTCTTTGAAAATACCTCTCAATACGGTGAATGTTGCCTGCGCATTATATAATTCAAATGGGATCACTTTGAACTGCTGAAATTCTTGTCTGGTAGTAAATATCGCCTTTTCTAGGTCATCAGGGTATATATCTACTTGCCGATATTCACTTTTTAAATCAAGCGTCGTTATTCTTTTAAAACGCTTCACCCCACACCCACCCCCCCCCCCCCCCCCCCCCCCCCCCCCCCCCCCCCCCCCCCCACCCCCCCCCCCCCCCCACCCCCCCCCCCCCCCTCCCCCCCCCCCCCCCCCCCCCCCCCCCCCCCCCCCCCCACCCCCCCCCCCTCCCCCCCCCCCCCCCCCCCCCCCACCCCCCGCCCCCCCCCCCCCCACCCCCCCCCCCCCCCCCCACACCCCCCCCCCAACCCCCCCCCCACCCCACTCAGACATAAATTAAGGATAATGCAAAATCAGACAAAGGAAGAGTTAGAAGCAAAACAAATATGACTTATTTGTAAAGCTTATTTATTAAACAAAAGGTAAAGAGGAAAAAAGATGTTATATGTTTGATATTATTAAAAAAATTAGCAATTTTTTCTTCCTGGAGCAAATTACAAAAAAAAAAAAAAAAAAAAAAAAAAAAAAAAAAAAAAACCTATTTACAAAAAACCAATATTACATGGTTTGTATGGTTGTTAATACATCGTATGTCTCCCAGACGATGTAATACAGTCCGTACAACCCCTAGGCATGTTGAGTATCAAATTATCGATCTGATCTTGGAGGATATTATACCACTCAAATAGCAATGCTCTTCGAAGTTCCGGTAGACATGTAGGAGGAGGTTGACGGGCTGCAACTCGTCGGCCAAGCATGTCCCACATGTGCTCTACTGAATTCAAGTCCGGTGAGAATGCATGCCAGTCCATACGGGTGATATCCTCCCATTGAAGGCATTCGCTTACGATGTTTGCACGGTGAGGACGGGCGTTGTCATCCATAAACACAAATTGTGCGCCCATGGCGCCCCGAAACAAATTTACATGTTGTTCCAGAATGACGTCCCGATAGATTTGGCTTGTCATGGTTCCAATTTGAACATGCAGGTCAGTTTTGGAACCCAGAATAATTCCATCCCAAACAAGCACTCCTACACCACCGTAACGGTGTCGTTCAATGATGTTTTCTTGGTGGCAACGGGTACCTGGAGCTCTCCATATGAAAGTCCAGCGAGAATCAGACTGCAAGCTAAACCTGGACTCGTCGGAAAACATCACACAAGCTCACTGTTGCGGTGTCCACAATGCATGCTCTCTACTCCAGGCTAACCACAGGCGACAGTGAGTTGCAGTAAGTGGAACGCATCTGACAGGTCTACGAGCATATAAACCAATCTGCCCTAAGCGTCTGTACACGGTCTGCCTTGAAATTGTCGTACCAGTGGCTGAAGAGAGCTGATGAGACAGGTCTGAAGCTGTGCTCCACCTGTTTCTTTTGGCAGTAACTGTCAAGTACCGGTCCTCATTCGGCGTTGTAACTCTGGGGCGACCTGTGCTGTAACATCTACTCACATTACCATCGTCTTAGAATAGTTGCCAAAGCCTGGAGATAACACTCTGGGCAATTCCAAGTTCGCCTGATACTTCCAGTTGGGTACGCCCACATTCCAGATGGTCGATAATTCTACCACGTAAAAAAAATCATCCAAATGCGTCCTTTGTGTCATAACTATTCGGATATTGCACTGAAATGCTTATAAAGCGCCTGCGAACAATTTTACTTCTTTGCCTGTATTCCTTATATATCACTCTCTTACAGTCTCGTCATTGTGACGTACCATCGGTGTCATCTGGTTACTTCCTGAAATTTGCATATGATTCTTTAAGATGTGTGTAGTGATTTTACAGGTGATATATTTATTTTAGAGTTCGATTTCCGCGTGACTCCGAATTATCCTTAATTTATGGACATGAGTGTACTTCTCGCCAATTTGCAGCTCCAAGGCACCAGCTGGAGTTTCGAAGTCTAGCTTCTGTTTTTCGGACAGAGTTTGAAGGATATTCTTTGAGTCTGCTCTCACAGAAGCGGCAAGGCTGTGGCTTCGGAATCCCATGCATTTGCGTTTGCCACTATAAAAAATGAGTCTTATATACTTGCCAGGATGTTTTTCCATAAAATATGGGTAGTTTTAGAGAGGGCCGGAAAGAGGACCTAAGCTTAAAGAGAGGTATAAAAAGCAATGAATTCAGCAGAAAATGAGGTGTTCAGGTTTCTTACTGAAAGCATTAAAGAACAAATAAGGAAAGAAAATACAAGTAGTGCCAAAAGAATCCTGAAACTTCAAAAGTAAAACGTTTTGCTTGTAAATGAACAAAAATGAATAAAATAGGAGGTCAAGATCAGTTGGTGGATGCTACGCCAAATGTTGATAATGTAAATTTAAATGATATCGCACCAACTGATATTAAAGAAACCGAAAGTGCTAGATATTTTATAAGAGCTAAGAAAATGATGCATTACTTATATTATAAATAAATAAATGGTATTGCATGAAATGCTGTGATCTAACATAGACGTTAACAAAGGATTTGGAAAACAAAAACATTTTTTAAAAAATTTATAACCGAAATTCAATGCCCACAACTTCGACATGAACTCTATGAAACTACCTATCAGTTAATAAAAACTTTTGTTAAGCCATTTAACTTTGGTTTATATTAATTTTGGTACACATTATTGAGCCCAGATTCAAACAATTTCCGGATAAATACAATTGCGATAAATTGTATTTATCCGGAAATTGTTTATATTTTGATGATTATATTTTATAGTTTGTAAGATTCTAAACTGTGTACTTTCAAGTTAAAGTTGAAGAATCTTAAGAAATGGTAAGCAAATAGTCGCTTGAGTTCGTGAGAATGAAAATAAAACTTGGGAAGGGTTAAATACCCTTATTATTCCAAATTAATTTCACAGAACTCCTTCTTGGAGTTTTACAACAAAGCCTTCACTCGAGCTTGAACTTAAGAACTAAGAAATTAAACTTAACTAATCTTAACTAAAAAGATATAGCCGAAGCTATCAAGATTCTAATAGAGTTGACCCCTTTAACGCTAATTAACGGCGAAGCTATCAAGGGCCTAAAGTACGGCCGAGCGTAATAATAGCTTAAGAGAAACTAGCCTAAAAAGGAGAACGCGCGCTAGTCAGAATCACTGGTTCTCTCTCACGAAGTCAGTAAAACTTCACAGTTAAATACTTTTCCTCATTTGCATTCAGACGCGATTCGAAAACTACGTTCTGGACGGAAGTTGTAAGTTTGAAATTAAGAAAGGATAGGCAAATAACTTTAACTCAAAATTTAACTGTTAGATAAATTAACATAATCCTTACAAGCTATATAACCAACAACAGTACGCGAAACACAAGGAAGTACTTACTGTAAGGTATATAGTAATTTATCTACGAAAAGCATATTATTGGCAGGAAATCAAGTATGTGTTGCTGTTAGGAGATAAAGTCAATGGAAATATTTAAAATTAAAAGGATGGATAACTCAAAGCTAACTCAGGGAAATACAATAATAATGCATTAGCGGAAATTGAGGGAATGCGAACAACCAAGTGTGATCAAATAGCCAAGTGTAATATGTTTTACGATGAAGTTCCAAATAATAACAGGAAAAGAGGGATTATTTAAAACTGAGAAGTGATTTTTAATTGAATGATTTGATTGATAACATATAATTAACACTAAAAAGTAAAAAAAGATTAAAAAGTATGTTTATAAAATATGCTTTAATTTAAAATGGATAAAATAATTAATTAGCTAAAATGATAAAAACAATTTATCACAAAGTTTAATGAAAACAAAGGATTAAATAATTCTATATGCAAAATTTAGCTATAATTTTAAATTGACAACCATAAAAGCGTAGAAAAATAAATAAAAAACCGAATAATCAAATTGCATTGCATAAAACAATTAGTTTTGTAAACCGGTGCAGATTTCTCATTTTTTTTTTTTTTTTCCTTTTCTCTAAACGTAATTTTTTAACCTTCCAGTTTAATCAGATTGAAACGAAAATTATAATTTGACTAAATTTCATACATTTCCAGTATACACTTTTTGATGTGTATCCTTTAAAGTTATTTGGTATCTTTCATAGTAATACACTTACCCAAATTCAGTTCTGTTGGGAAGTTTTTAAAGCAAGCGGATATTTTGGAAACGTTCAGAGTGCATCAGAACAATTACTATTGATATAATTGAACAATTGATATAATCAGAACAATTACTATTGATATAAATACTATTAATATAATTGCAATAAAAAATTATTTATACATTATTATCGAAAGCATCTCATGCTTTTATTATTTGTAACATAAAACTGCTGAAAATTTCGTATAGAAAATTATTTAATCTTTTGTTTTCATTAAACTATGTAATTAATTATTTTCTCTTTTTATTACTTTAATTACATCATCCGCTTTAAATAAAAGCATGTTTTATAAGAATTTTAATACTTTTATTAAAAAACTCGTTTCTATAACGTCTTCAGTCTCTTGCTCAAAAAAGTTCTCACCGCCAATAACCACCGACATTCTTTCCACCGGTGTTGTCTTCTCGTTGGCCAATAGCGAAAGTGTGGGAAAGCGCAAGCTCATTGCCGTATATACACAGCTCGACTTCAGTTGAGATACGAGATTGATAGCACTTGATGTCTTGTCGACGTTCTCGCTAAGTCCTTGTGGACGATTCGCGATAATTGTGTAAGCGAATGGGTTACGGGTGAGTTGACGTCTTTTAATCTTTGCGATTACGATTGTGATTAGCAATAATCAAAAGTTAACAAGTGTCATCTAATGAATTATATTTCATTTTTCATTCAAAGAATTATTCTTTAAGCGTGTAAGTGCTAGGAGGAAATTATTATTTTTTGGATAGTTAAAATGTACTTTCAATGAAAGCAAACGTTCAGTAGCAGTTAAGAATATTTTTTTTTTTTTTTTTACTATGTAAGGAATTTTTATAGGCTTCTTTTTACACATTACTTTCGTTTTCTGGAACATTGTGATATTATGTGTTTTCTTGTTAAAAAATTCTTATGAAGAAACAACCCCTTTCATCATTTTATTTTATTTAATTAACTACCGTAAAAAATATTATAGAGACTATTAATTTTATCACTGTCAATTAATTTTATTTATAATATATTTTATTTTGTTTATTCCATCAAAATTGTTAGTTATTTTAAGCAAAATGACCGTTCCTGTGTATTTAAGTATTGTTAGTCATCAACAGAATTCCAATTTTGCAGAACATCTTAAATTTGTTCAATCCAATCAGGTATATTTTCTTTTGAGAATAGATGTAGCATTAAATCTTAAAAATTTCATAAGGTGTTGTAAAGTACATTACAACAATAAACAGTTACTTAAAATATTTATTTTAGAAAATATTGTTATATACTACAAACGTATAACTATCTAGTTATATAAATGATATTAAATTTAATAAGAATATAATCGCTTATTAAGTATGAGGATCAAGATCAAAATAATAATGCATATATGGAAGGGTAATATTACTCAATGTATGCATATTATTATAATTTATAGCGTTTAGTGTATTACAATGTATTGGATAGTTATAATATAACATCGTTCAATATATGCATATTATATTATGCCAAATAATGTTATTTCACATAAAATTTATGGAAGACTCTCTGAAAAACCTATAACGAAATTTTTTTCATTATTTTGATAATTAGCTCATTAAAATGCTTTTGAAATCATAGAATGGCTATATTTTTCTAAATTTTTAATTAAAATTTGCTCGAGCATATGAATTATTATTTAAACTTTTCATTACACCTTTTTATCTATGACACATAAACACAAATACTATCAAAAAGGCAGAATAGCCATAGTCACCGTAAATTCTTATTTCAAATTTTCCGTGGCATATAAAATATTCTTTAAAATTTTCAAGATAATACTTGTACAATATCTTATTTTTTAGAATTTTCAATCTGTTTTTTTTTTAAATTATTAAAAATTACTTAAAAACACTGAAATTTCTTAAAAAATCGACTGTTTAGTTATTATAAAAATTTTAGGTTATCCTAAAAATATTAATGTAATCAGTGTAGGATTTAAATAAATGAATCATTTGTAATTAGTTATAAGAAATTATATATAAGAAATATATAAGAAATTTTAAATATTACAATGCCGTTACTTTAAACTACATTTGAATATCACAGTGCTTAGGACGCATAGCTTCAAAAATGTGTGTATAGTTTTGCGTATGTATAATCATATACGTTTTTTTACACATTATTTATACAGAAGTTATATAGAATTAAATATATACTATGATATTTTGACTCTTATTATTGGCATATTATTGCTCTTATTAGTGGTTAATTTAAAAAGTTTTTTTTTTTTTCAAAGACACTTTATTCGTAATATTATGGCATTCAAAATAGTTTATAAGGTGGTTAATAGCGACAGATGTAGCTGTGACTTAGTCCTGTTCCTTTGAGTACTACTAATATTTCGATGTTTGAGACTGTAGCATCTGTAGGAGTAAGGGAACATAAAATCCTTTGGTACGAAGTCATTCGTGTGATTAAATAGTTAGAGAAGTGAGACAGAAGACAAAATTATTTTGTTGCTGGACACATATCCGTCAAACCTGGATGGCACTGATGCTAAAATATGCAAAATGTGATCACACGTACACTGGCCTAATAAATGTAGTAATTATTTTAGAAATTAATTTCTAACGCCATAGATTAATTTAACTTTAAAATTTTTATAATATTAAAGAAATAACATTAATATGTTTATGCTTTTTTTTTTTTTTTTAAGATTACCCCAATTTATTAGATCCAAAAACGTATAATCTTCTTAGAACCAAATTTCTAGCAAAATCATTTCTTCAAAATATCAAGAAATGTACAAATTACGCAAGCTGAAGGAAGATCGACTCTGATTCTTAAAGCAGGTTCCTTAAAATTATGTTTTTTGAGCTGACAGTCCTATTTTTGAAAACTAATGAAACGATATTTTTCAATTCTGACGCAATAATATTTTAGCAATAAATTATGTATTAGAATTAGAATAAAAACAATTCATTTGTTCTTCATTCTTTCAGCTGATGGAATAATTTTTTCTAAAAATCTAGCTCATCCTCTAATCCATCCCTTTTCACCGAAAATACTGAAATATTTTAGTTCAGACCACAGCGACAGTGTTGTTAATTATAAATGCTAAATTTTACTTGCGGTTCGTTTTGCAGTCAGAAAGGTGCTGTAAACGAAGTTACCTTAGTATTTATCCGGCAACTGAAGATCACAGTTTTTACAGTTTTGAACTTTTAAACAGCAAATAGTTAAAATAAGTATTAAAAAACTAATAAATGCGTGATTTGTACTTTCATTTTTAATCGGAGAAAAAATCGAAAATTTCTTTTTCTAGAATATTTTGAATGAGTTACTACACTCTACTTGTTACGCTCTACCTGTTAACCTACGGTATACACACCATAAAAAAAAAAACTTACATCTTTCGTAATATTGGAATAGCATATTTTCCCTCTTTTTTCAGTCTTTGTCTGTTGACAGGTTGACAGTACATTTTTTTCATTTTTATATTTACTTATATACAGACGCAAATGAGTAAGTTAAACTATGTATCATGTTCCTTTATATGTACTTTTTAATTCAGACTACAGAGAAGCTGATGTAAAAATATGTTAAAATAAAAATATGTCCTAGTAGTTGTATTTTCTTTGTTCCTTCCTCCCCATATATCCTTCTGAAAGGAAAAGTTTTTGTTTGCTTTGTTTCGTTGAACTTAAGTAGAAATTACTTTTCCCACTTGCCATTTTGTCTCTAATTTTAGAAAATACGCTTGGCTGTCTTAAAATATATTACTATACATTTACCATATTATAATATTTATTTTAGGTATTTTTATAATATATTTTAAACTTTAATCTTTTTGAAAATACTTCCACCTATTTAATCTCTATGGAAATATTAGATTTTCTGCCTAAACCAAGATTTAAGATCGTTGCATCTCTGAGCTAAAAAACTAAAATATTTTTGGAAATGCTAAAATGCTCTAAGCCAAAATTTTAATTTTGAAACAGGCACGAGTTTTCGGCACCAAATTTTCTGATTACATTAACGTGGATTGCTTATTGTTAAAACAAATATCTGGTTATAGTGATTAAAAATTTTTTCCAACAAGAATATATTTATTTAATGGATTACTATAATTTTAAAAATCTCTAACAATTTTTTTTTTGTGTTTTATTGAAAAATACTGCACTTTTTATTTAAAATATTTGAACCAATTAATATGACATGATAATTGTTTTTAAATATCATAATTTGAACAAGATGTGATTAAGACAGTATGGGGGCTAACTGAAGTTTTCTTTCAGGAGCCTCTGAGATCCATTTTCTTTGTTTTTTATGAAGAAAGGAAATATTCTGAAGATTTACACTGTGATTTTAATGCACAAAGGAAAAAGGCTTTAGTCAAACGATGTCAGTGGACGTAAACAAAACTGTCAAATCGTTATGCTTGACGTAATTGAAATAATAAACTAAAAAAAATATGAGAGATGAAAAAAGAGATCGACTTTGCACTTAATTTTCACCGCATAATATTAGAAAAAGGGAAGAAGAAAATTACCTAAAAATCACTTTCCATAAAAGACAAACATGTCCGACATTCAAAATAGCAAGATTATGATGGATGTTTAAACAGTGATATAAATAGAGTTAAGTATGGCGCTTTCATGTTCCGATTTCAAAGATGTTGTTTGCAGCTAAAAGACGCGAATTTTAAGTTTCACCTTGAACATTGTTTGCCCACTTTTTTCTTTCTTTTTAAAGAAAAGAAGTTTTACTAGATAGTAATAGACTGATGCTTAATTTTAGTTTTAAAAGCAGTGAGGGCTGCAATAGCTATTTACAATATTTTTTCGATTCTTAGGCGCACGTTTTTCCTTATATAAATGCTACTAAAATTAGGCTTAAAATGCGCACATCAGAAGGTTGTTACTTTTATCATTTGGCTACTTTTGCCCGCTATAAACAAGTATCAGAAGCTGTATCCAATCGACAAGACCTAAAATCTCTCTTAACATAAAAATAAATTTCTCAACAGCCTATCAAAACGAATACTTAAAAAATTATTTTATCCGTACTTCTGAATAATACTACTAAATACTAAGTATTATTTTAAATCATTATATTAATAAATAAATATGTTTAAGTGCGTTATCATTCAGCAAAGCGTAAGATATTTCTTATAGATTTAAGATTTTTCTTACATTTTTAGAGCTTTCCCTCAAATTTATTCAGTTATTTATTAGCAAAATAAATGATTTAAAAGCAATAAAGGCAGATTCGTTTCAGTTAGAATTAGTTACTAGCTGGAAACGTAAAATTGCAAGCTGGATTCATTATCTATCTAAGCTGGATCTCTATATAATATTTGCATTTCTTACTGACCTTTATAAACATTTTAATTAATTAAATTATTAAAATTCTAATAAATGGTTTATATTTTTTATTTTCACTGCTTTATTTTTAGTCAAAAAGGGCAATTTGCCCAGAAGGACTATTAATTTTGTATTGGAATTTTGCATCAATTCACTACAAGCGTTGTTTCACTTTTCAAATTGTTGCCACCAAATATTATCGCCCTATATTATATTTAACGAAATTAAATAATGAAGAATCTGCATGAATGTTTGTATGT